GTTGATGAAGGTTAGATTTGGTTCCTTTTTCATTTTTGGTGTTCTTATTATTCTTAGATTGACTGATCCAATTCAATAATTTTGTAGTTAGGGCTCCTCGAGGCTTAGGACATTGTATTATGACAATGAAGAAAGGAGAAATTGCATTGTTCACTTTACCTGTTGATCAAGGTTATGGAGCTGAGGGATACGATAATGTGCCTCCCAATTCTGTTATTCAGTTTGAAATCGAACTTTTCTCGTGGATTGATGTTGTCGATGTTCGTAGAGATGGAGGTATTATCAAGAAAATTATAGAGAAAGGCGATAAGAATGGGAAGCCTAGTGATTTGGATGAAGTTCTTGGTTAGTATGTATCTCATAGGATATTTGTATCTATGCGTATGAGACATCTTGAACTGTTGATAATAATGACTGATACATTGTTTTCATTGTTGCAGTGAAGTACCAAGTTGAGCTTCTTGATAGTACTATTGTTGCTAAATCACCGGATCAAGGCATTCAGTTTTGTGTGAATGATGGTATTTGGCTTTACAGTCCCTATAGAGTTAATAAGTAGTCTTTTTTCTTTTTGTCATGTCATTTCTAAGTAGGTATGCATTGCTTTTTAGGTCATCTCTGCCCAGCATTGCCACTGGCAATTGTAAGTATGCATCCTGGAGAAAAGGTCAAATTGATTGTCCAGCCTCAATGTATGTGGTGATGTTACTTCTGAAGTTTTAGGTTTTGGTTATTGTGAAATCCTTTGCTTGAATCTGATAAATGTGCAGATGGTTTTGGAGAAGAAGGAAGAAGTTCAAGTGGGATTATCAATGCTGTTCCACCAAATTCTGTACTAAATATTGATGTATTGCTGGTGTCCTATAAACCTGTTATTGATGTCGTGGGTGATTCAAAGGTTTTCAAGAAAATTCTGAGAGATGGCGAAGGCTCAAGTGTTGCAGATGATGGTGCCACTGTTACTGGTACGTGTGTTACACAGATAAAATCACAACTCTGAGGGACATTAAGCAAGTATGCATTGGACGGTTCAGTTGTCTTGAAGATTGTTTTGATATCATGAAATGTAGAGGGGCTAATTCTGGTGTTAGCATTCAAGTCTGGATAGGATAAGAGTTGGCTCAATAGTTTTTCTATCTGTTTCCCTCAACTATAACTTTGAAAAATTCTCGCTTACCTTTGATGAGGAAAATGAAAGGATGCTTATTCAGTAGATCCATAACATATTAACTCATACTTTTGACTATATCAGAATAGAGTTTGCATCTTGCTCCTAGCTACTCTTGTGAATTTTCCTTTGAAAGTGTAATTTTTGTCTAGTAAAATGCAAAGCTATGGAAATAGTTTTTTTTTTTTTTAATTTGATTATTTCTCTAAATTGGGAAAATTGGTTTTACAATAGACATAATGGGTTAACGATTGGGGATCGTTCTCCCTTGTTATCATCCTAGTTGGCATGACGTAGTGGTTAGTTTCGTGCAGTCAGTTATGTTGCAAAGCTAGAGGATGGAACTATATTCGAAAGGAAAGAAGTTGGGGAGGAAGAGCCACTTGTTTTTGTAACAGATGAAGGTAAGTTAATGTATTCTAATAATTATTTAGGCCCTGATATCTGAATTTACTCTCAGCACAAAAACTTAAATTTCTTTCTTGGTTTCTGTTTTACTCTATATAGAGCAAGTCATCACTGGCTTAGACAAAGCTGCTGCAACAATGAAGAAAGGGGAAAAGGCGGTATTGAAAATAAGTCCTGAGTATGGTTTTGGAAATGTGGAAGTCCAACGTGACCTTGCTAAAGTCCCACAATGTTCAACTCTCATCTATGAAGTTGAAATGTTAGACTTTGTCAAGGTAATAGCTACTTCTGGGACTTGGAAGTACTGGGTATTGAGCTCTGAGTTTGTCATTCTATCAACTCTCTATTATGTCCATAGCAAAACTTTTCCTGTATTTGGTTGATAGCTTAGGAAAATGTGAAATGTACTCCCTCGTCAAAACAGACCTTTACGCTGAATCTAAAAGTCACATTTCTGGAGATGGAGTTCTTCATTTTGTTGGAATTACATTTTGCATAACTTATGTTTCATATTGGCAATATATCTCTGAAATTACTCGTGGAAAATGTTTATTTAAAATCTTGTAGACCACTAAATTTTTCTGTTGTTTCGTTGAGAACAGGAGAAAACACCAAGGGAGATGAACAATGAAGAGAAGATAGAGGCTGCTAATAGAAAGAAAGAAGAAGGCAATCTGCTATACAAAAATCAAAAGTACCAGCGAGCAGCAAAGAAATATAATAAGGTGATTCACCAGAATTATTGAGACTAACACAAGATACCTACGTATGTAGAGTTCTACCACGTTTTCTCCTTATTAAATCTGGAAACTAACCAAGTTTAATACTAAAGGAGACATATTGAACAAACACTTGACATATACCATTGGAATCCCCGACATGTATACTTGGAACATGATAATATATGTTTACAGGCTGCAGATTTTATTGAGACTGGCAAATTTGAAGGTGATGAAGAAAAGCAACTCAAGGCTTTGAGAGTATCTTGCTTCTTGAATGCTGCAGCCTGTAGTCTAAAACTGAAGAATTTTCGGGAAACTATCATTCTATGTTCGGAGGTAAACAAGTTAAAGAAAAAAAAGAAGTAGATTCATCTCTAATGAGACTTGGTGGTGGCTTTCTTTTTTCTGTCTTAGTTATGCAATATTTTACTTTTGAGTAGTTTTAACGTCCAGTAGATGTTCTGTGTGCCATTCTGTAGAATGAGTAGCAAGTTACTTCTATGACATGTACATGATCTTGGAAATATTTCTATCAGATATATTGTGAACTTCTCATATTTTTTTTGTCACAGGTATTAGATATTGAGTTCCAAAATGTGAAAGCTTTGTATAGGCGAGCACAATCCCATATTGAGGTGGGAGATTTGATTTCAGCAGAAATGGATATAAAAAAGGCTCTGGAGGCTGATCCTGAGAATCGGTAAAAGAAGAAACTGCGTATGTTGTTTATTGCATCCTCGTTTCTCCTGGGCATATTATATGCCCTGACACTTTATGTTTCCAGGGAAGTGAAGTCCCTTTACAAAACGCTGAAATTCGCTAAAGCTGAGAGCGACAGAAGAGACGCTAAGCTCTATGCAAACATGTTTGCACTATCTAAAGTAAGTCCTCACTTTACATGATCGTTTGCCGTGACTCGACCGTAATGCCAAACGTTGTGACGATATCTTAATATATACTTGTGGCAGAAATTAAAAGTTGTGGCAGAAGAAGAGAAAATGGCAACAAATATAGAGACTACAGAGCATTCTAATGAACAGTCCAGCTGACTACTTATGCCACAGACAGACCGGTTAGGCGCCCGCAAAGGTAGCACAATGTCAAAAGAAATTATGGAAACGGTAAAAGGAACGGAATTTAGATTTGCTCAAATAGTGAAAATAGTTAATTTGATTCAGACATGTCTTTTGTGTACTACATGTAATTGGTCTAGAATGTACATTATGAACATGGAACCATGAAACTATGACTTCAAGTCTTCTGGCTTTAATATCATAGGCTTAAATATTGTTTAACCTAATGGCCTTTTTATTATTGTTGATCTTGGGATGCATGTGTAGTAGCTATAAAGTATATGTTTTAATTACGACATCACAGCGATGCTAGTACAAATCACTAAACTACAAATCTTTGTATTCTTTTTAACCGGGCTTACCGGCTTAAAACACTAGTACAAACCAACATGTCACAAGCTCGGGTCACAAAGCGATTCAATAACGAGTTGGATTTAGTTAAACTAGTCATGATGTTCCAAGCAAGTTTAACAAGTAGTTTAATCTAGTATCAATTCGAATCAAACGAATTGTTGTACTATGAAAAAAACTAATATTATAATATATGGATAGGCACCTATAATGGATGGTGCAGGGTAATAGGTGTAAAGTGAAAGAGAGTATGAGATGGGATATAAATGAATAGTACGTAACATCTATTGCCACTACCACTAAACCTATTGGCCCAATGTTCATAATCAGTAAGCCAACTGTCAATTATCTACTGCATGCAAGCTAAGAGTGTCCAAAAGGAGTTTTACGCTATATGACAAAAACATTTCTTTATATTATATTATTTCTCTGTCTTTTTGAGTTTTGGATTCGATCTCATGTTTCGACTTGAAACGACAAAAGCAAAATAATTTTGTTTGTTCTCATACTACATGTCAAAAAAGATCACATCATTTCAACCTCTAATGTTATGGGATTAGTTTTCTATTGGTGGAAGTACAAACAAGAGAGAAATGTCAAAAAGATCACATCATTTCAAGTTCTAATGATATGAATTAGTTTTCTATTGGTGGAATAACAAACAAAATAAAGAAATGTATATGTTCAAAAAAAAATGTCAAAAAGATCACACCATTTCAAACATCTAATGATATGGATTAGTTTTCTATTGGTGGAAGCACAAACTAGAGAGAAATGTCAAAAAGATCACATCATTTCAAGTTCTTATGATAAGGATTAGTTTCCTATTGGTCGAAGAACAAACCAAAGAAATAATGATCTTCAGCTATAAACATACTTTAGACAAAAATAAACGAGATGATGAGTTGTCGCCTTCATTTCGAAAAATTCGGTTAGAATTCTCACATAGAAAATTGAGTTTTGTTTAGCATAGTATATAATGAATACAAACTTATACACAATTGTTAATTAGTTTTAAATTAGAAACTCAAAATTTTTAAAATGTTTTGTAGTGATTTTGAACTAAATGGTGACATAAAAAATATCCAACTTTTTTTTGTCGACAATCATACATTTATATTTAAAGTTTAAAATATAAATAGAACATTCAAGAAATATGGTTATATATATTTTTTCCAAACCAATATTATTGGCTGCATTGAAAGAGTTTCTTCTTCTTAAAGGCTTTGAAGCCTAGAGAGAAAGAAAACAAATAACAGAAAAAAAAAAAAAAAAAAAAGAGTAGTGTTTTCATTTTGGGAGGAATAAAAAAAGAATGGATTTCTCGGATTTAAATGATAGCGATGCGGGAGATTCAGGTTGGACAATGTACTTAGACCATTCTTCTTCTGTTTCACTTCATCATTTTGATTATCACAATGGAGACACAAAACAAGAACATGATGATGATTCTTCGATGGTGTCGGATGCATCTTCCGGGCCTCCATATTATTGCGAAGAGACCGTCCCTGAAGATCTTCTCCAACAAAACACGCAATATTGGTGCAAGAGCAAGAGCAAGATCAAGAACAAGAACAAGAACAAGAACAAGAACAAGAAGAAGGTTCATGAAGAACAAGGATATAGTGAGAGATTTAATTCTTCCCTTGATGACACAGCTAGTTCATTGGTATTGTTTCTACAAACTTGTCTTTAGTTTTTTTCCTTAACTCCCAAACCACATTTTTGTGATATGCTAAGTTTATACATATTTCATATAACTATATTCATTTGGTGCTACGGTTATATCATTTTAATCTCAATTTTTGGAAATATATTCAATAGCCAGTTGTAGAAGAAGTTTCAGCGCATAAGCAACATCGAGATCAATATCAACAGTTTGATGATTTCTCTCAAAACTACTCTACAAGAAGAATATTCAAGGTTTTTACATATTATTTTCTTGCTTCATTGTCACAAATAAAAACTTTTTTCAATGACCATAAACTTTACTTCTTCTTACCACTTTGGCTTCTCTAAATATTTTGTATGAGGAGTAGTTTTAAGTTTCTTTTTCTGTTGCAGGGAAAATTTAACTCTGGTTTTCTACAACAAGCATTCCCGGTTGATAAATTAGGATTGGATAATCAAGGTTATGATACGTCTATTTTTTTTCTCTCTAGCCATAATACATAAACAGAAATGCATAAAATCTCATTCATGGGTCGGTGTCGGTTTACTTAATATTTGTATAATCATAGATATATAGCTTGACAATATGTGTATTTGCAGGTGGTAGTAATCAGAGGAAGAGGAGAGGATAAAGAATGAAATTTGATATATATAATTTAGTTTCATCTCTCAAAAGTTGGAAGTTAGGGGGGGAAAAAAGCAGAAGGAACACCTTCTCTTCCTTTAATGTGTTTTGCTATCATATGTACATTGTCTTTAAGAAAACCATGTGGTTTTTCTTTTTTCAATTAATATGATAAATCCTATTAAATAAACACTAGAATTTGATATGAAATTTCAACGTACATATATATGGGTGAAACATTATTGTAACGTTAATTAGCACACATAATGTAAAAGTTTCTAATTCGACTCTAATGCATTAAAACTAAAACCAAAATAGAAATATGATTCTTACAAAAATAGTTAGAAGGTCTATAGAATATTCTTCTGTTTGAGCTTCGTTTCTTATTATGGGTTTTGACGGTACACCGTAGTTACTCCCCAAGCTATTTTCTTTTGCATACTATCAAGACTTATCAAAATGTTCGAAACAAAATATCTTCCAATGCAACAATTCTTCTTATAAGATCTTAACTTTCTATTGTTTTTATTTTGGAGTTTAAAAAGCCATCGATACAAAAAAGAATGGGAAAAAGAAACTGATTAAGCAAAGTGAATTTGGGTCAATTTTGTGCACCTAGCAAACTTGTAATCTATATCTATAATGAGAGAGTTTTCTCTCCTCTTATAGTGTCCACATCAGCATCCATGTCATCATACTTTTTTTCATGTAGATTCTACATATCTTATTTATCACAACAAAACATTGAAAATAAAATTAATTCAAACACTCTCTATTATTATGTTTCATTAAAGAAAAACAATAAATATATATTTAAAAAATGTAAAAGTAAATATATAACAAAAAAAATTGAATAGAGATTGGATATAAATAAAATTAGATAATTATATCTAATATATTTAAATGGTTAGAGATAGGAAAAAGAAACTTATCATATATTTTTATGGTACAACAATTATTTTTACTAATTACAAATATTTAGTAGGCTAAAGAAAATAAGAGTTAAAAAATATCAAAATTAAAGGATTTTACTTACAACAAAAATAATTTATTTCTGAAAAATACACTTCTGAAATTTTAGAATATATTTATTAATGTTAAAGTATCAATTCATGATACTGATTAAAAATAAGAGGGATTGAATACATATTATTGTTACTTCTAATTATAATATAATATTAATAGTTCAATTAAAAAAATTCTCTATAACTACTAATATTTTCTATATTAAAAAGTGGTGGGTTTTTTAAAAACAAATGAATACCTAAGAAGAAAAACTAAATATTAATCAGTGTTTACGAAACTAACATAGGTTGAAAAAAATTAAAGTGGTTTAAAATAAATAAAAAACTTATCCTAAACATCACACATAAAATAAAATAATCTAATCGAATAATAAAAGTGTATAGTAATAATATTTGAGAATGCTATTTGGAAATTAGAATAATAATGGTATATTGAAGAGATGATTTTGTTTTTAAATATAAATAAACGTATTTTAAAATTAGAATAACTTTTTGATATCGTAATTTACATATTTAGAAAAATCAAAACTAAGAATACTATCTAGAATCATACTATACGTCAAATTATATGTGAAAAATAAATTTTTTTTTTTTTAAACAGAGTCAAGATAAAGTGAAAAATTTGACGTTTAATCCGATGTTTGTGAATAAGAATGAGTTTATATATGAGATTTGTTGACTACAAAACAATTTTACATTTACCAAAACATGGTCAAACAAACCTTATGACAAAACATTTTTTCAAATTTTATGATGTTCACTTTAACAAAAAAAATATGCAACTTATAAAAAAAGAATTGAGTATTCAAAGATAGGAAGGAGAAATGATATACGATATATCTTGAGAACTAATTCACAATCAAGTATATTATATGTGAGTCAATATAAGGTGAAAAGAGAGTAGATGTCGGGAAACAACGAGTGAATCATATAAGATAATGAGCAAAATTGTAGTGAAGAGTGTGATCGTAAAATTCAAATGATTAGATTTATACTCAAAGATTCGCATTGATAAACATTTTAAACTAAAATCCCGCGCAACGCGCGGGTAAATAATCTAGTATAATATTAATAGTGGTTATATGTCCACAATTTCGCCATGTCAGAGCAATAGATTGTCTTAAATGAGATATATTTTGTCTATTCATAACTCATATTATGATTGTTAATTTTTAGATTAGTCGTAATGTCAATTTAGAAGCTCAAGTAACAAAAACATACAAATATAAGTTAGATGTGTCAGTTTCAACTTCAACTTGATTAGTACTAAACAAATGCAATATTGTAATTCACAAAACTTCTTAGAATATTTATGAGTAGTAAGTACATAAAGGGATAAAATAAAGTTACACACAGAAGAAGCATAAGTACCATTGATTGAACATGTAAATATATAGCGACCATTTCTACTTATTTACTATTTTAAGTTTCGTACTCCCATTTCTTTGTACATTCCTACACAGCTGGTCATGGGCCCTTCTCATTATTGTACACTTTATGTGTATTACTGGCCACATTTCTTTGTTTTGTATATATAGCAAGCTATTTTTTATATCAATTTTTAAAAACAACAGAATTCTAAACTTTTTATCAATATCTCTTTGGACAGGAAATGAAAATGGTTCTTTTTATATGACTCAAAAAGAGTTTTCTCCAAAGGGAATTTAAGAAACTATCGCTTCGTTAATTGAATCTCATGTTCTCTTGAAATGAGTTTTTAGTTTTCATTATGCTTATATACCTTAGAAGTGTTGAAACGGGCCAAATCCGTGGGCCAAACTCAAGTTGTTTCGCATGTGTTTAAAATCTTAGACCAGTTAAGAAACAAAACTCAAAGATCAATCTATTTTCAAATCATGCAGTCCATTTATTTTCTAATTCATCAAAAATTTAAACGCACAAGAAGAAATCTAAAGTAAGCTCTTCCTTGAGCATTATTCCATATATTCAAATTAAAAAAAAATTATTATCTACAAGGACTCACATTAAATTAATGAAATGAGATCCAAAAGGATCAAAACTCACACAACTTAATTCCAAAATATGTTAGGTTCCTATTTTTAACACGTTATTCTAATCTTTTCATATAGTTAGCCAAACTAATCCAAACTATAAAGAAAGAGATATGATGTAAATTAAAGATCACTGATTCATTTCTATACATGCAAAGTCGAGTATATTTTTATCACATAACGACTATTCACAAATAACAATACTAACCGACACGATTTGTAGTCTAATGGTTAGTGTAATTGATGTCGTTATGTGGCAACCTGATTCAAACTTACACATGCATTGTTATATATTGACCATAATCATTTAAATAAAAACATTAATATATCCTAACCCAGGGCCGGCCCAAAAAATTTGGATGCCTAAAGCCCAAAAATTTTTTGTTGCCCATTTACCAACAAAAATACAAAAAAATGTTAAAATTTCGGTATAATATGACTCGAACTCGCCACCTCCTGCTTATAAATGAGACAATAACCACTAAACTACGAGACTTTTTCTAACAAGTTATGCCCCTTAAAATTAAAATATAATCTGATGCCTAAAGCACCTGCTTGATGGGCCATACCCATGGGCCGGCCCTGTCCTAACCCATAGAAAATTGAATACTCACAATACGTGATATGCACGTTAAATATTTGCTTCACTTTTAGAGCAGAAGTGCCATGTCTGTTCCTCCTCTTCTTAGATCAGAATGAATGAAACCTACTCCAATTCGCAAGTGTTTTTGATCTATATTAGAACATAACTTAACAACAACAAAATATTTTTCGATAGCTAGCTAGGCATTATTAGATTAGAGAAACCTATGTATTCAATCTTGAATACTTAGTGTGTCCACTCAATATTACTAAGTGTGTCACACTTTTAATTGATGATTTTGACAACAGAATGAAACCAATTTATTATCATGGTTTATCCGGTCCTTAACATGTCCTAAAAATTAATATTGTTTCATTCAAGTTTTAAGATTAAAATACCAATAATTGTCATTGTCCACCAAAAACTATGAGGTTCGCTAAAAAGATATTTTCCCTTGGATACGTATAATGCATATTATGCATGTACGTTGTATGCATGTGGGACTCAAGAAATATGTATTTATGTATATGTTTGTAGATGAATAAATTTAAAAAGCATATAATGTGATTACACATGAACGCATGTACGTGTATGCATGTGAGACTCTACTCTATACAGATGTATTTATGTGTATGTTTGTAGATGAATGGTAATAATGGAAATGGACCAATTGGTCCCTTAGGATGTGAAATTTCATGTTCACATGGCAAATTGGTTAGTGGCTAGTAGTGGCCCTTTTGCCAGTCTATCGTCCGTAATCTGCGTCTCTAGGTACACACACATCCGTCGCTTCTGTCATTTTATCTCATGTATAGAAATTTCCCATGATTTTCAAAAATTAATGTACTATGAAAATTTTAAAATATATAGATAATGCTAGATATTGTAGTGATGATCTAGGTACGAATTCAGCTGGGATCTTTCGGTTTTGTTGGATTTTTAGGTTTACGAAGTGATCAAAAATGCCCACACGGCCGTGGTCTAGTGGTAGTTGAGAATTGAGAAAAAGTTGGAATGAACTAATTCATTTTCGATCTATCTTAGAAATAAAAAAACACATATGTATAGGAAGTCTAGGCTTGAGCTTTTGGCCTAAGCAATTTATCTAGTAGTCTAGTTACAAACGATCTGGCTACCTCATGCATTAGTCAAAAAGCATTCCAAATTTAGGACAGACAGTGAGGTGGTCCTTCGGAGAGAAATCCTGTTGTAATTCTCACATTCTCTATCTTACACTCTTTCTTATTGGTTTGTGTTCACTTGTTCTAGAGAGAAAACAAGAACACAATTTACTTTTAAAAACTACATTAATAATATCCTTTGATTGGATAATCTTACACAACACAAACAACACATACATATACTACTTCTACTTGACACACTTGCACATTGCACTTAGACCTAATCAAGTAGTCACCCTACACACATTGGAACTCTCATTCTTTGATTCACTCTTTTAGACTCTAACTAGGACTTAGTACTACTTACTTTAGTTGTCACAACCTCTTCTTGTTGGACCTTAACTAAACAACCACAAAACACTTATTCGTATGGGCCTTAATTCATCATCTGCAGCCCATCTACACTTCTCAGCCCAAAGTCAACTTCTCTTCTTTGTCGTTGACGCTTCTCTTCACAATGTCTCTTCTCCGATATCGACATCGTCTTCTTTCTTCAGATATGCTTCACAACCAAGCTTTCCTTCTTGTAGGATTTAATCTAGGATTCATGATTTCAAAAAGTCTACTCTAAAATACTTTGTGTTTCTACCAAGGCTGACTAGATCAACCGATAGAGTTTTTTTTTTTTTTGTCGTCTCTGAAATTAAAGAGAAACGTAACAGAGTCTTACAAAAACCAGAAACAGAGCAAGATAAAACGAAATCGAAAAACAAAGAGCTACAAACCAGAGACCAATGATCAAATTAAATACTACCTCGGCGTTCTTCCTCCAGTCTGTTATGTAGCCATGCCGGACCTCCTCTAGCTAGGTAAGAAGTAAACCGTCCGTCCCTTGTAACACTACAAGCAATCTCCTTGGCCAAACAATTGGCTTTCGGTGAAGAGAGTGAAAAGTTACCTCCCGCATCACCCGTATCACTTGTTGTATCTTGATAACCTGAGAACGGTATTTACGATACTCCTCCGGTCTGGCTAAAGCTTCCAAAGCTGATTTGCAATCTGACCAAACTTCACAAGAGCTTATACGCAAATCTCGTAAGCTTCATACACACCATAGGATAATATGTAACTCTGCAGCTAAGCGGTTGACCATGGGGAGGAAAGCATCTCGAGCATGAAAAACAGCCTCTCCCAGATGATTACGTAATAACCAAGCTCCTCCAATGTGAAAGGAATCCCTAATCCAAGAAGAATGAATATTACATTTAAGCTTACCCGGAGCTGGTTTAGACCATCTTCTCTCGCCCGTGGAAAAATGATTCAGGCTGCGGCTTCGATCCTGTTGAGCCACCAAGTTTTGTTGTAACCATTCTCTAGCCTCTTCCAACGCCGTTGCAACAATAAACTGAGGAGAGTTGGTCTTCGCTGCATACAATGTGGAGTTTCGGGCTTTCCAAATTTCCCATAAGAGCCATGGAATGGCCTCACGTACACTTGTATCCAAGTCTTGCCTTTCCATCAACTTCAGTAGATGAGCAAACCGTTCTGAAACAGAGTGCATCGCATACACAGGCCAGAGAGGCAGCCCCGTGCTTAGCCAGACCTGCTGCGCTATAATACACTCAAACAACACATGTGATACTGTTTCCGATGCACCATTACAGAGTTGACATATCGGAGGAACATTAACCCCATGACGTCGCAGACAGTCCGCAATTGCTAAAGCACCTGACAATGCTCTCCACATAAAGAATCTAATCTTTGGAGTTGTAGCAACCTTCCATATTTTTTCCTTGATCTTATTCGTGGCTTGATTATCTACAGAAATGACTTCCATAGACTCAGCCTCTCTTGTTAAAACCCAGTTACCACTTTTGACTGAATATTTCCCATCTCTTGTATAAGCCCAGATACATCGGTCCAACCAATAGAGTTTATAAAAAAAGAATAGAAGTTATCAACAAATTGAATTGAAACAGAATCTAATTTGGTTAGGATGATGTTTCCGTTTTGAAAATAAGAAGATAAAATTTAATATATTAACAAACTTGATGTTATCATTAAGATCATAATCTATATTTGGGTGGAGTAATTCTATTTTAGAAAGCCGATGCACACAATGTACACAATCTTTTTTTTTTTTTTTTTGATGATTACGTCAAATACGTTAAGGTTAAGAAAACTGAAAATTTCGATTTTTTTGTTTTGTTTTTTGGGTGCATTTTTTTAACAACAAAATCACTCATTTAAATTGACACCACCATAAAAGTGGCATAAGTAAGGGACAATCCATTAAAAAAAACGTGTTTTGTTCGTTACATAAATTTATTTATTTGGGCAAGTTATCATTATTTTTTTTTTCATAAGTGGATGGATATTATTATCTTAAGAAAAAGGAATATACTTTTTGTAACTATCCTTTATAATTACTTCATATTATTTAAAAAAAAAATTTTTTTGCTCTATTCAATTTTCTAATTTCTAATCCAACAACCCATCCAATTTTTTAATGGACGTATTGGGTAGCTAGATTACCAAATACAAAGCTTTTTATTACATATAATTTAGAGAGAAAAAAAAGTATTAAGTAAAATAGTGAAATAACATGATTTTTTAGAAACACATATGAATCCTATACTATTATTTGGGAAGTACATCTATAAGTTGTAACATTAACTTTTGTAATAAATTAAATACATGCCATTACAAATCTCTAATCATAACCATATTTATTCCACGTCACTCACATTAACCAATTCATTATAAAACGGATCAATGGGTCATACGGGTTTAAATAAAGAGATTACCTAATATTTAGGAGGCCAATCACGCATATAACAAACATTATTCCTTATCAATTTGTCATTATTTGGTTATATTTAATTTCCTAATAAAGATTGTAACCAAATTGCGGTGTACAGTGGATTAAAACCGAATTAAACTGCACTTGGTATAAATTCAAATTATGAATATTATACCAAATAAATATGTGTTCAAATATAATCCCTAACCAAAGTTTTAAACAATTAGAGAATGTTTAAAAAATAAAATTTTTTAATAGGTTCTATTTATTTTGTAAAAATTAAATCTCGAAAGGGACAGTACGGGAAATATGAGAATTCTATCTGAATCTCTTACCCGTTCTCTTATCTGTTGAACTAGATTAAACATTCTCATATAGGTAATTATTTTAAAGAAAACAATTATGTGACGGGAAATTTTAAGATAGGCAATGGGACGGGACGAGACTACGTTTTCTCATTGTCTTTTCTACGTAGTTGTCTGATGACAAAAACAAATCAACTCATTTACACCGAAATAAAACTAAACAAAATACCAAACTAATACGAATTCATATTATGAATGGTATACCAAATAAATATCTACACCCATTAATCCGCACGTATGTGCGGATCCGAATCTATATATATGACCAAAATAACAAAAGAATCTATATTGAATTAAATTTTATTAAAACATATTTTTTAAAATATGAAATCCCGCACGTATATGCGGATCAGGATCTAGTTAGGTTTTAAAACAAACAACCATAAATACCATAACACAATCCAATTTTATAAATAATTTTTTTTTTAAAAAATGGTTATTTAGGGCTATGAATTTTCATATTCAAAATATACTCAATAAAAATAATTTCAAACCACTCAAGCTAATCTTTAAAAAAAAAAAAAACAAATAAAACTAAATTTTATATATTTTCTTTTACAAAGAGATAATATTTAAACCGAACAATACGATAAGACTTGGGCCTAAAATCTTTGTCAAAAAGGCTTCTTAAAGCCCATTAGTTCCATTCAACATTATCGACAATAAATATAAATTAAAAAAAAAAACGTTTTAACTGAAGAAGCTAAAAGAGTTTTTAACTTTTAACTCTCTTCGTCTTCTCTCATACGGTGTCAAATCAATCTACTGTTCTCTCTCCCTCTCTCCTATCTGGTAAACTTTTCCTCTTCGCCATGAAAAATTTCTTTCTAGGGTTTTAGATTCTACAGTTCACTTAAAAAATTAGGGTTTTTGTGACAATTTCTCAATTTCATGTTCCCTTTTTCTTGTTTCTCCATAATCACTGCTTAATTTAGAATCTCCAATTTCACAAATTAGGGTTTTTTCGTTACTGTTTGATTTTGGGGCTTTTTGATTTTGAACAGTTTATTGTGTTCTTGATTTCATAATTCTGATGTTTTGATTATCTATTGCGAAATTAGGGCAAGAATCTCGGTTGATTCCGAGATTAAGGGGATTTAAGACAAACCTGCAAAATTAGGGTTTTTGTGGATATGGATTATGATCGGTTCAAGTTATTTGTTGGTGGTATTGGGAAAGAGACTAGTGAAGAAGATTTGAAGCAGTATTTTAGCAGATATGGACTTGTGTTGGGAGCTGTTGTAGCTAAAGACAAAGTCACTGGTATATCCAGAGGGTTTGGGTTTGTTCGCTTTGCTAATGATTATGATGTTGTTAAAGCTCTTAGTGGCACTCACTTCATTCTTGGTAAACCCGTAAGTGTTAACGCCTTTTACAGGATTGGGATTTTTTGTATACACTTTGTGGATTTATCAGTGTGTTTTTGTATCAGGTTGATGTGAGGAAGGCTTTTCGGAAACATGAATTGTACCAACACCCGTTTAGCATGCAGGTATTCGAGGGAAAAGTGCAACAGACCAACGGTGGTTTGCGTGAGATGGCGAGTAATGGTAATATTCATAGGACTAAGAAGATATTTGTTGGGGGTTTGTCGTCTAACACGACTCAGGAAGAGTTTAAGAGTTACTTTGAGAGGTTTGGTAGGACGATTGATGTAGTTGTGATGCATGACGGTGTGACAAACAAGCCAAGGGGTTTTGGGTTTGTTACTTATGATTCGGAGGACTCTGTTGAGTTTGTTATGCAGAGTAATTTCCATGAGTTGAGTGATAAGCGCGTTGAAGTGAAACGGGCAATACCTAAAGAAGGAATCCAGAGCAATAACGGTAATGTTAACGTTAACGTGCCTCCTACATACAGCAGCTTTCAAGCAACACCGTATGTTCCTGAGCAAAACGGATATGGGATGGTTCTACAATATCCTCCTGTGTTTGGTTATCATCACAGTGTCCAAGCCGTTCAATATCCTTATGGTTACCAATTCACAGCTCAAGTGCCTAACGTTTCATGGAACAATCCGATTATGCAACCCACCGGTTTTTACTGTGCTGCTGCTCCTCCTCCTCCTCCTCCTAGCAACACTCTTGGTTATTCCCCTTACATGAACGGGTTTGATCTTTCGGGTACGAGCATTCCCAGGTACAATCCTGTACCATGGCCTGCAACGGGGGATGCAGCTGGTGTGCTAATACAGTTCGGAGCTTTGAAGTTTGATGTCCATAGTCAAGCACATCAGAGAATGAATGGAGGTAACATGGGAATACCATTGCAGAATGGTACATATAGATAATAGTTGCAGAATGATAAATGCAATTAGGCTCACAAGGTTAGTGAAATTCTTTGGACTCTTTAAAATGGTTTTCTAGGTTCCTCATCTTTCTTCATTAACTCTTTGGTAAATGTGTTGGGTTGGTTTGGTTTCCATGTATATTGTTTAGGTATTTGATTTTAATCAACCCCAAGACCTATGTAATATATTACTGCATTGTAATATATCACATTCATTTCGTTTTATTTTGGTGCTTTTATGGTTTTGTTCATTTTGTTGTTTCTTTGATTAAATTGGCAATTATGTTTTGAATTCATGAAGGAATACAGAGAAATAGAATATCAATTAAACAGTAGAAATTAAACGAAATTACGAGAACTGAATCTGGAAATCTCTAAGAATATCATATTTTAGAAAGAAACAAATCAAGATGGGAGAAACCATTGGGCGTCCTTGAGCTTTAAGTTGGAGAAACCGGGGAAGCGTTTGAGGGTCTTTGTTGCAAGATTGAATACACAGATGTCCAGGGATGAACTTTCCAGGTGACAGACACGATCATGGCGGGTGAAATAGATGGAGTTTGGTTTGATACCAATGGAACGGTCAACAGGCACTGTGATACCCAAATGATCAAGAAACAAAGCCCCGGTGGAAATCGACAAAACTCAGACGTTCAAACACAGACCTCAAAATGTCTATAGGAATTTCTGAGCAGCAGCTAGAATTAGGAGTCTCCATGCTTCCAAACTTTAACCAAAGACCAATCCAGTGAATTATATAAAGGAGATTTTGGGACGTAGATAGTGTATGATATTTGTTTGCTGTATTTGCGTGGGCTTCTCGTTAACAAGAAGGCCAATGCTACAAAACCAAGTGAAAGAAGTCATATTTAAATTTTTTATTTTATTTTAAAACTTTATTCGTTTGAGACAAATTGTGGAGAATTAATTTTCAAGGTGCAATCTGTGAAGTATTAACCATTATAAAACGTTTAAACGTTTCAATTTTGTTTTGCAAATGATTTTACTTATCTCTTTGCTAGGGAAGGCAACAAATCATAAAATCGAACGTGTTTTAATGTGTGGTTGGCACTTGGCAGTAACGAAGTTACCGTTGAGTGTTGTTAACAAAAGAAACTTTGAAATAGTTTATATTACTATATGCTGAGAGATCATGTGTAATTTACAATACTTATATTTTTCTTGTGTATTAATCAATTTAAGGTTATGTTTATGAAATTGGTGTAAATCCCAAACATAGTATACTCAAGTTATAGACCATTTTGTTACCATTTTATTGGTAAGAAATAACAAATAAATTTCGTTGTCGTTCCAACTAATATCAAATTGATAACTAACTAGAGATTTCATATATAGAACATAACAACTATCGTTTGAAAGAGTTATTTTTAGAAGTCCAACAACTCGAAACCATATATATATATATGTCTTTTGAATTTGTAAAACACAAGCCAATCTCGAGCAGAAAAGTTACAACCCAAAGAAGATGATGAAGCTTCAAATTCTATGGCTCGCTTTGGTTTTAATCGTCGTTGAAGCTAATGCAGTCAAGCAAGGGATAAACGCAACGATCCCGGCGCTAATAGTTTTTGGAGATTCAATAATGGATACAGGAAATAACAATAATCTTCCCACTCTTCTTAAATGTAACTTCCCTCCATATGGTAAAGATTATCCTGGAGGCTTTGCCACTGGAAGATTTTCTGATGGAAGAGTTCCTTCTGATCTTATTGGTAACCATTTGAATTATTTTTTATACTTTTCAAAATTATAAATTATAGCTATTTATATATTCTGATAAGTATGTTATAAAATATTTCAGCCGAAAAGTTGGGATTGTCTAAGACATTACCAGCATATATGAATCCATATTTGAAGCCTGAGGATCTTCTTAAAGGTGTAACATTTGCATCTGGAGGAACTGGTTATGATCCTTTGACAGCTAAAATTATGGTACATTATATCTTATGTTTTTCCTCGTTAGTTTTTTTTTTTTTTTTTTCTTATGGGTGATTCATTTTTCTTACATTTATGTTTATTTTTGTAGTCAGTGATATCGGTGTGGGATCAACTCATATATTTCAAAGAATATATATCAAAGATCAAGAGGCATTTCGGAGAAGAAAAAGCCAAAGAAATCTTGGAACATAGTTTCTTTCTTGTGGTGTCTAGTAGCAATGACCTTGCTCACACTTATTTAGCTCAAGCTCATAGATATGATCGTATCTCTTACGCCAATTTCTTGGCTGATTCTGCTGTCCATTTCGTGAAAGTAAGTACTTTTTATATGTATATATATATATACATATATATATATTATAATACATGAACTAATCAATAATAGAATTACATCCAAAAACTAATTTATCCTATCTATAATTAATATTTAGGAATTACATAAGCTTGGAGCTCGGAAAATTGGAGTGTTTAGTGCAGTCCCCGTTGGTTGTGTTCCTCTTCAAAGAACAGTTTTTGGAGGGTTTTTTACAAGAGGATGTAATCAACCTCTAAACAACATGGCAAAACAATTCAACGCAAGACTTTCTCCGGCACTAGATTCTTTAGATAAAGAGTTGGATGGTGTCATCCTTTACATTAATGTTTATGATACTCTTTTCGACATGATCCAACACCCTAAAAAATACGGTAAGTCCATCTAACAGATTTATCGATATATATATATATATATATATATATTATAAATCATCTTTTATTATCTATTTTAACTAAATTTTATTCAAATTATCTCATTTCGTTTCAGGTTTTGAGGTAGCTGATAGAGGATGTTGCGGTAAAGGACTGCTCACGATATCCTATATGTGTAACTCATTGAACCCATTTACGTGTTCTAACTCTTCAGCTTATGTATTTTGGGATAGCTATCATCCAACTGAAAGAGCTTATCAAGTTATTGTCGACAATTTACTCGAAAAATATTTGAGCAAAGTCTATTGATGTTGAAGAATCAAACAAAATTGTATCTTTTTTGTCTCATTGTCTTTTTTTCATCTCAATTCATGTCTCACTATGTCTCATGCAATTTTTACTTCTCAGATTATTAACTTTAAGAGTCCTCAATAAGAATTTGCATACTATTACTTAGTAATATTATAATTAGATTCCATATCTTAAAGTTAACCATTTAAATCAACAAAAAAAAACAATAGTTGAAGTCAACATCTCTTAAGTAATTACATGTAGAAGATTACGAACCGTTGACCAGAAAGAAAAAAAAAAATTACAAACCAAATCAAAGACATGCTCGTTATTTGGTATTTATTTACTTTCTAATCCATGAACTGAAACTTTTCGTTTAATAAAATGTTCATATTTTTGCATTTGTCAAAAACAGATTACAAGACCGAATTAATTGATAATCGACAAATTTTTTTTGTCAAAAACGGTAAAGAGATTCTTACTAAATCCATTGTAGCAGCCTTTTGTTGTTGGAAATTTCATTCGAATTTCCTACGAAATATATATTTAGTAACAAATACGTAGGAATTTGATAGAAAATTATTCCTACCAAATATTTGGTAGGAAATTTGGTAAAAAAAACTATGTTTTCTTGTAGTTCTATATATCTAATATTATTTCCAACTACCCAAAACATTAACCACAAAAACTACTAGTGCATTAGTAAAATTTTGGTGGAATTCGAACAGCGAACAAAATATTAATACTGGCTGGCCTAGAACTAGAAGAAAATGTGTTAGAACAAAGGGAAATTGACTTCAGAACCATTGGTTAATTCAACTAAGCCCTATAAGCAAAACAACTTTGGACTTTCCATAATTACTCTTTGCAAATTTTTTTATAAGATTGATACTTCCAAAAATCCAACCTCATTGATCCAATAAAATATCTTTCTCCTTCTAATGAATAGAGAAGCACCATATCAGCTTGACCCCTAGTTAATTAGACCTCTAGTTAATAAGGTATTATTAATTAAGAGAGTTGGTTTAGAGTTCTCTGTTCTCCTTTATTCTTCGGACATTCTGTTTATTCGAAGTCTACCTTTGACTATTTAGTATCAGACTATTTTGAATTAATTGTTAATATTACTATTTTGAGTTAATTATTAATATTAAATTTAAATAATTTTGAAAAAAAGTTGTTACAATTATGTCGTAATGCCGTGGTAAAATAGCGCCAAACTTACTACACAACATTGTGAGACTCATCATCGTCACAAATATTTGTGACACATTAATTGTGACGGATACTGGTGTCCTTATTCCATCGCAGTTTTTGCGATGATCTTGCAACATTGACACAAAACTTTCTTGTCGCAAGGTTTGCGGCTAGTAATGATTGTGATGGATTGAATTCGGTCACAGTTACATCCAATTTTTCTTCCATTGCAAATGTCTTGTTTTTGTTGTGAGATCCCAATCAATTTCTTGGCCAGAGGCCCTAACAGACTTGAAGTTACGATATTGTTATTTCAAATTACTCAGATAGAAAAAAAAAAAATTATTACTCAGAGCCTTGAAGATGGCAATTGCATCCACCTCGAATAGCTTGAGCTATCTAACTGCCGAATGTTTGGAATATTGAGAATCATTAGGATTTTGAGAATTAATGTTTCTTTCTTACGTTCGTATCTTGGTTTTCCTCTGTTTGGATTGGCCATGATTTTGATGGAGAAATAAACATTAGGATTTTGAGAATTAATGTTAATATGTATGTAGGGTTTAATAATAACTTTTATTTATTTGTTGTTTATGTGACTTTTTTTTGGCCATTCGCTATTGTCCATAACCGCAAACGTTTCAGAAAGAAGATTTTGAAACCCAATATTTTGTGTGGTCCGAAGCGGTTAAAGTGATTTCCATGATTAGTTTTAAACGCTAGCAATCGCAACCGCCCGCAAACGTAGCATTTGATTGTGGTAGCGAGAGAACCAATCAAGCTCTATCATTTGCACAAACTCTTAAAATGATCGTTATAGAGATTGTTGGTCGTATATGCAACTTCTCTCTTGGTCAAGTTTTAATATTTCTCACTTAAAGTGAAATCGCTCCATGTTTATTAGGTCACAGAAATACGGAATGCAATGAGAAAGCGATAGGTCCTGCAAACTAGGGAGATTTTTGGGTAGTACACCCTAGATATTGATATAAGATTGGGAGCTGACTTACCAACTGATGCACTGGCTGATGTACTTCCTGACAGACTCGTTGATAGATCAGCTGATGGACTTGCTGAAATACTTTTCGTACCAGATTATTTGGTGCCAAATAAGGAAAGTTACATTTTCATTATTAATGATGCATATAAGGGAATCAAGAAGACACTCCAAACCGTCCATGAGGTTCCCCATCCGAGTTATGCTACACCTCACCTCACCCAAGACCCGTTGACTCACTTCTTTCCTCTTTTGGACTCACATGACATCACACCTCAACGGCTCTTTCCTTTTCTACAAGTCTGCATGTTTAAGAGCCTCCAAGTGATCCTAAAGCGTCCAAGAAACTGCACCTTTCTTTCCAAGTTGTCCAGATACAAATTAATGCTCCACTTGCCTTATTTGGCCGATTGCACAATCAAGCCTCCAATGGCTCTATTCCTTTATTGTTTGCTTAGAGCCTCTATATAAGCTCTCTTTCGATTTCATTTGTATTCACCAATCATTTTAGAAATAATCTCAATAAACGTTAAGTTTGTTTACAAAGAATTGTTTTTGTGTTTTGTCATTTCAAGTTGAGTGTAGTGGATTCACATCTCTTGTGTGATTTGCGGGCTGAATAACTTTTGGATTCAAGTTGTTTAATTAGTGTGAATTCAATAAAAAAAACCTCCATATATCATCGCTTATCGACTATCAAAGCTTCGAACCTTTGCTTCCGTTGATAAAATCATTGGATGGATTCCCGTGTTTGCATGAGATATGCGAGATAAACAGTTCAAGACTATTTCACGAGGAAGTGACAAAAACGATGGATTTCTTCTGCTTCTCCCGCGATGATTGATTCATAGCGGCATACACGCTTTGTAAAAGGCTAAAACAAGATTAGGTGATTTTTCAAAACGAGTGTTCAAGTTGTTCTCTGTTTTTTAATCCGAGAAATCGTACAGAGTAGGTTTACTAAAGAGTAAAACCATAATTGGAATAGAACCAGAGGATTGTGGTCTATTATCTCACTGAAGCCGGTTTGATTTAAGTGATTATGGGCATATTGGTTCTCCTGCAATTACCTGCAAACACAGAGCTGCTAGTGTTTGACAACAATCACATTTTGCGATGACACTATTTCAAAGCATCATCTTCGTACGACATTATAACAAAGGCCTTTGGCCGTTTTCAATCTCGGTTTCTTATGTCCAAGTTAGGCGTTTGGGATCTTCACACTCCAAGGAGAGTATTAGGGATACGAGTTTTGTATATTTGGGCCATATGTACCCTACGAAACTTAGAACTAGCGTGTATATAAGGAATTGTCTAGTCGATCAATAAAACCAAGTCAGTTCGATATCTAATTCTACATGATCGATTGTGTTTTTGTTCATTCCTTTTCAATGGACAATGGACACCTAGACAGCTAGTCACGGAATAATGAATTTTTACGATCTAAAGAAGCCGGCCGTTGGGAGATGGTGAAATGTGTAATGCCAGCCTAAAACTCATTTAGTAGTTACAAGTAAGTCTAAAACTTGTTATTTTCTAGCTGGATGTATTTCTCGTTAAAGTTGACAATAGTTTAACTTAAATATAAAAGCAATAGTACACTAAAGGATAAAGGAAAGGAAAATAAAAAGCCATTGGCAATATTGATCATGGAAACAAAAACATGAATAGATTTGATCAACTCTCAAATCCTCGACCACAGAAGAAAACATATGACCTGGGAACCGTAAGTACAATACTAGCCCACTCAACATTTCCCCAAACTTCATCATTACCATTGCGTCTTTCAAGTGTAATCACGGCACACCAAATATCCTTTAATAGAAATGAATCATGCTTGTTGTCCCATAAGATTAGAAGTTTCCCATTGTAGTTAGCTATGTCAATCATACGGTAACCACAATTTTCATTAAACGTAGCTAAACCTCTGACCATTCTCCATTGGTCACTATTTGTATCATACCATAAGCAGCTCTCTTGACCATAATAATACCATACATCATCTATTATACAGTGTACAAATGTTCTTCTTGTAACATCCCATTTACCTTCTTTTGGATCATAAACAGAATCCCACTCCTCATTGCTTAGAACGTAAATTTCTCCTTCTATCATACCTATTTTTCTAATTGAAGAAAACCGGTGCTCAGCCCCAGGGTCATGTAAAGATTCCCAAGTTTGAGTCTTTGGGTCGAAAACCTCACCCCAGTTGACGGATTCGTCAGCCCCGGCACCGCCCATTACGTATATTTTGCCATCAAGGACGCCTGCAATAGCTTTCTCTCGAGCTACACGCATGTCGGGGGCTTTACACCATAACCCAGTCTCTTTGTTTTGGAACTCCATGATGGAGGACGGAGTACTGGATAGGCTGATTCCATACATTTCTGAACCAGGCCAACGGATGCGAGATGGTACATAAGAATAACAAGAAGGTATTTTTACCAACCGAATATTTTTGTTTGACGTCGTCTTCTTCTCTTCGAGTTGGTTGGTTAGGATTTGACCAGGTTTAATCCAGAGGGTGTACCAAGAGGGAAAATGATTCTTGGTAAGCTGTAAACGGATTTGAAATACGGTTTCATGTGTGTCAAGATGAATTCGTGCATCGATGAGCTCTTTTGAGACGATGAGAGAACGAAATTTCTTGCAGACTAGGACGAGTTTCGGGTAGTATGATCTCGATATGCGGGCTAAACAGGTCAAGATGATATCATCAGGAAGTGACAAAAACAATGGAGACGTGTCCTTCTTTGTCTGCGATGGATCCATAGCGGCAGAGAACGTAAGGTTAAAATACACGATTAGGGTATTTTTCTGTTTCATTTAAAGAAATCGTACAGGTTTGGTTTACTAAATACTAAACCGGAATTGGAATTAAACAGACGATTGGAGTCGGTTATCTTACTGAGGCCGGTTTGATTTAAGTGAAAGACTCTATGTAAGAAGGAGGGTTCACAATTTCTTGTTTCAGTTTGTATGTAATGGCTCTCCTTCAAGTTTAATTTTTCCTCAGTAATAGCAAGACTGCTTTTTTGAAAAAGGATATTGAAAAAAGAGTATTTTTAACAATTTCTCATAAAAAAATCATGGTCCTAACATTATTAATTTATAAAAGTTTTACTGTATATACTCTGTAAAACCTTTAAAATACCTTGTAAATTTTTTTCGCCAAAAAAAATTTGCCAAAAAAATTGCGGAATCACTTTTCCCGCAAAAAAAATTTTTTGGCGAGAAAAAATTTTACGGGAAAATTTTACAAGGTATTTTAAAGGTTTTTACAAGTGTTTTGGCGGGAAAATTGCGGGATCACTTTTCCCGCCAAAAAATATTTTGTATTTTGTGGACCTAATTTTTATATATATCCTTATATATTTGTGATATTTTTTATTAAAAGAAGAGTAATTTAGTCATTTTGTACATAAAAAGGGTATTTTTAAAAATGGACAGCCAAATGGAGTATTTTTGAAAAGGGGTATTGAAAAAGGGGCATTTTTGTGAGTCTCCCTTTTTCTATTAATTTATAGTGATATTAATTTATTTATAAACTAATATTTATAATGTAAATTAATATTTAGAAATTTTTAGAAATTTTATTTTAATTGTTAAACCATTTAAAAAAATTAAGAGAATGTTTGAGAGAGTCGCACTTATTTTACTTATGTATTTCCAACCTTATTTATTGTTGATTTGCTAAAAAAACATGATTCGCTTATACATATTAATTGTTTGCAAGTATTTAAAAATTTAGTAAACAAATATTATTTAAGATTGATTTATTTTAGAATTACCGATTTAACAAAATATTTATGGAATTTAATTTTATCACTTTCCTAGAAATTTTGTTGGACTGTCTCATCTTTTTATTATAACTCTTCTTTATGTATTTTTAACTAATAATTTTTTTTTTACCTTGATAAAAAATATTTCAAAAGATCGTGTTTTTAATCATAATTCTTTTTTCTTACATTTGTACGTATCCATAAAGGGCTATATTAATTTAAAACCACAATTGACCGAAAAATTAGATTTATATACATGTTGATTTGAAATTTAGTTAAGTAGGAAAGAGAAAGAAAATGTAAACTAAAAATATCCTTATTTTTGGATTAATTACAAAAATGCCACTGCTTAAAAAAAGTTCATATGGAGGCGACACTGTTCATTTCGACACGATAATACGCGGATGACACATGCTAAATAATTTAGTATCGCGATAAGTTATAAATTATATGTTAATATAGAATGATAACGTGCTAACATATTAAATATTTGAATAATATTTGTATGAACATGGTAAAATATTCGATATATGGATAATATCTATATTAACATGTAACTTCTACAACGTAAGCACCAAAAAAATGTAACTTCTACAACGTATGCTCAAATTTATCATGTAAATCATTGATTATATGATTGGTATCAACCAACTTATATAGTAACCTCTTTATTTACCCTAATAATTTAATTATTACCGATAATTTTTATATTAGCATATTTTTTATAATGGTAATTAGTTATCACATTTAACTTATAAGTTAGCATTTTTGTATGTGTTGCTAATTAAATTGTAACCCATCTAACAAAATCAAACCCTGGAAAATGAGACAATCGTCATTGCTGCCAATGATACCATTTTCCCTCTTTTGCTCAATAAACTTCATCCAAACCATCTAACAAATTATTTATTCCACAAGAATGATATATTACCTAAAACCTCCTTTCCACAACATGCAAAATTAATAGGGATAAAAGAGTCAATTATCCGTATACAGTGTTGGTCCAAAAGTGTTTATTTGTGTCAGTTAATTTGAGAGTCTTCTGTGGTCATTTCATGTAGATACCCTATTCATAAATTGTTTTAATAATCTTTGGAAAATATTTACGATATAACATAAAATTAGGTAGAACTTATCTAATACGTGAATTCATTATCACAATAGTTTAATACATAAATCAAAAAAAAAATCTCAATACAACATTTTGTTGAAAATGAGTTCTCACGCAATATCGCGGGGCTCATAACCTCATTTAAATATAAAAGCAAAAGTACAATAAAGGATAAAAGAAAATAAAAAGTCATTGGCAATATTGGTCATGGAAACAAAAACATGACTAGATTTTATCAACTCCCATATCGTTGACCACACAAGAAAATGTATGAGCTGGGAACCGTAAGTTAGCCCACTCAATGTTTCCCCAAACTTCATCGATACCATTTTAGCTTCTTTCAAATGAAATCAGGGCACACCAAATATCCTTGTATTGCCAAGAACCAGATTGCACAAATTAAACTTGTCCCACAGGATTAAGAGTTTTCCCTTGTATTTAGCTATTTCAATCATACCACTACGATAATTCTTATTCAACGTAGCTAAACCTCTGACCACTGTCCATTTCTCACGATTTTCATCGTACCAAAAGCAGCTGCATTGATCACAACAATACGATATATTATCTATTGTACATTGCATGCATGATTTTCTTGCAACATCCCATTTACCTTCTTTTGGATCATAAACATAATTCCCACTTCTCATTGCTTATAACGTTAATGTTTCCTTCGCACACCTGTATTTCTCTAATTGAAGAAAAGCAGTGTTCTGCGCCAGGGTCACGTAAAGGTTCCCAAGTTTGAGTCTTTGGGTCGAAAACCTCACCCCAATTCACGGATTCATCAGCACCGCCTCCGAGTGCATATATTTTCCCATTGAGGACAGTGGCGGAGCTAGACTGTGTTTTTATTGGGATCAAATGGGATGCAAACACATGTTGATGGGGTCAACTATGGGAATTTTAATCATTTGATCTAACTTATTCTTTGATATCAATAAGGAAAAGTTTAAAATATAAAATTTTATTGGGGTCAACTGACCCAATTAACACCTATGTAGCTCCGCCCCTGATTGAGGACGTCTACATGAGGTTTCTCTCGAGCTACAGTCATGTTGGGGGCTTTACGCCATAACCCAATCTCTTTATTACGGACCCACTCACCCACATGTTCGAGGACGGAGCACTGGATCGGCTGATTCCGTACATTTCTGAACCAACGGAAACTATGCGTAATGGTACATAAGAGTAACAAGAAGAAGTTACCAACCGAATAATATGGTTAGACTTCGTCTTCTCCTCGAGTTGGTTGGTTAGGATTTGACCAGGTTTTATCCAGAGGGTGTACCAAGAGGGATGAGGATTATCGGTAAACTGTAGACAGACTTGATACACGGTTTCTTGTGTTTTAAGGTGAAATCGGGCGTCGTTGAGCTCTTTTGATACGATGAGAGAGCGAAAGGTCTTGCAGACTAGGGAGAGTTTCGGATAGTACGATCTCGGTATGCGGGCTAAACAGGTCAAGATGATTTCTTCAGGAAGTGACAAAAATGATGGATTCTCATGCTTGTTCTTCTGTATTGGTGGTGTCATAGCGGCAGAGACGTCTTGTAAAAGTAAAGAGGTTAAGACGATTAGGGTATTTTTTTAATTTTTCTCTATTTCATCTAAAGATATTGTACAGGTTTGGTTTACTAAATACTTAACCGGGATTGGAATTGAAGAAAGGATTGGAGTCGGTTATCTTAGTGAGGCTGTTTTTTTTTTTTTTTGTGGAATCAAAATTAGAGACTTGGAGTTTACCAGCTTGTCGCGACAAGATGACCATTACTTTTCTTTTAAATCATTGGCATGAGATTTAGCTTTTTTTTTTTTTGAATGAACGATAAAACCACTACAGGAAAATCAGGAATTCATAACGTCCAGAAAACGCTATTTATTGCTAGAGTAGCGTATTTAGAAACGCTATATCATCGACCGCGACAATAGGTAAAAGACCTATCATAGCGTTTTTTGGTATTGCTATTGTGTCTTTGTCAAATATAGCTTTTTATTCTGTGCAATCATATATTATACTATAACACTTTAATTTTGTTATCAGTGTTATTATTCATAATGATCTGGATTTGAATTTTAAATTTTGAAATTTAAAAAAAAAAATTAAAATTCCAAAAGCTTCAATTTATATTGACAAAATTGAAACTTGTATTACAAATTCCATTCATAAACCAAATTTAAATTACAAAATTTGTAGACACATAATGTTAAACACCATTTTAATTTACAAGGCTAGCCAACATCTCTTATCCTCGACCCTCACTAGCTTTTCATCTTATATTTTCTTTCTCTTCTCCTTCAGAGTCTCCCATACTTTCTTTTATAATGTAATGTTGTTACCAACCACGAGAGGTACTTCTATTATGGACAATTGTACACAAACCACAAATTCCACAAACGGAACATGTACTTTTTAATATGCTGTATAAGATCACAATGACTTATTCTTGTATCTCATGGATGTAAACCTGCATCACAATAGCATTCACAACACCACAAATTGTTTAATCCACAAAAAAATTTGACAAAATAAATTAAAAAAAAGTTGAGCAAAGAGTACGGAGAAATTGGAATTCACAAGAAAAGTTGGTTTGTGTACCTTTGTTCTGTCCCCATATTCTCCTCTCCTAACTCTATTTTTAAAGTTACTTCACCTGAAAGATCTTATAGAAGAGAAACTTAAACGAAAACAAACATAGGCAATCGAGTTTCTCATCAATTTGCTCACCATAGCATCAAATTTTGGCTTCTATTCAGGAGTAACAATATCCAACGTACTTAGGAATCACATCAAACGAAAAAACATCAATGTTAGATACAATACTTAGCTTCTTAGCGAATCTGATTTCACCCAAACAAGTAGAAAGATTAAACCCTAACCTCGAATCTGATTTCACCTCAACTCGATTCCTCACCGTTACAAATTCCTCCCTTTACAAATTCCTCCCTTCTACCGTCCAGGAGCCTCAGATCCAACACTCCGTCGAAGAAAATTGTATTTGTTCCCAACTATCCCCCCTTTCATCACTGAGTCCATCAATTCCTTCAAAGATCGAACCAAAGACGTACTAAGCATCATCGTGGCTCAACTAAATCGAATTAGAAAAAAAATTAACACGAAAAATTAACAAACCCATTAGAGTTTGTGGATGAAACCACAAATCGGTGAACCCTAAATCAAAATCTCAAACACTAATAAGAATTCAGAAAAGACTAATTGGATGAGATATGTAAACGGCGACAGATCTAGGAGACAGTGATGAGGCCGAAGCGGACAAAGGCGACAAGCACGACAACGACACGGTAATAGGAGATCCCTCAGACCCTCACAACCGTAGGAGAACCAGAAATACAGCTCCGGCGTTACTCGTTAGAGCATGAGCAGCAACGAGATCTGGAAAAAGAAAGAAAGATCTGAAAAAAAAAAATTTGGGAGAGGACAAGAAATAAAGAATAAGGGGTGAAGAAGATGAAGAAATAGATGAATAAACGAAAAGATTAAGTTGAGGAAGAAGTCGAAGAGGTGTCTGAAAGAGAGAGAAAGCTAGACCTAAATTTTATTTGGCGAAGAACAAATATTTTTTATGTAAAGATATTTTTGGAGCCCAAATTTTACTTAGGCGGGCAAATAAATTATCTTTTCCCCGTCAACTATGCATAGCGTTTTAAAATGTACCAGTGCTATGAATACTACAGTTCGTAAAAACGTTCCCAACATAAAAATTTAACCAACCAAATATAGCGTTTTTATTTTGGTAAACGCTATCTAAAACAGAAGGGTATGTCAATTATAGCAAAAAAGCTTAAAACGCTATATTGTATTGCTATCAATACTCCAATTTCCTGTAGTGAACTAAACAGTTTACCTAAAAAACCGAGTTAAACCGTATACAAATTTTTAAATTTGGATATTTGTTAAGTTAGACTTCTTCGTTAGAGATCCTCGTCCCTTTTGTTTCTTCGGCTTGAGTTGGGTTAAAAGGAATATCGAACAGGCCTACGTCTATCCAAATGCTAAGCCTTGGTACACTCATCTTACTTTAGGCATTATTTGTCTGAAAAATGAGTGAATCTTACTTTTGATATCATCACATCTTTGCCTCCAAAATGTGCATCCAAAATATTCATCCTCTATTTATTCAATTGAAAAAACTAGCAAAAAATGTCATTAAATCAATAAAAGCAAACAAAAAGTTCAAAAGTAAGAAACTCATAAGTAATGGTCAAAACAAAAAAACATGATTATATTTGATCAGACCACATTTACTACACTACGCATGAAAACGTACGAGGGAACCGTGTACACTTTGTTAGCCCACTCAATGTTTCCCCAAACCTCATCCTTTTGAATTCCACCAGGTCTTTTGAGCTCAATCAATGCACACCAAATATGCTTGTAATTTCGATAATTATTAGGATGCACATATGTGTCCCATAAAAGTAAGAGTTTCCCACCGTAGTTAGCTATCTCAGTCATACCAGCAGCAACACCGTACGTATTCATCACTGCTAAACCTCTGACCACTCTCCATTCTTGACGATTTGTGTCATACCACGAGCAGCTCGTATGTTTATCGCAACGATACCATACATTATCTATCACACACTTCGCAAAGAGTGGTTTTCGGGAACCTTTCCATGTACCCTTTTTTGGATCATAAACAAAGTCTTTCATCTTGGTTGTAACATAAATCTTTCCTTGGTTTGCTTCTATTTTTCTAATTGGAAGAAATCGTAGCTTGGGGGCAGGGTCAGGTAAAGATTCCCAAGTTTGAGTCTTCGGGTCGAAAACCTCACCCCAATTTGTGGTGTCATCAGCGGTGCAGCCTCCCATTACATATAATTTCCCATTGAGGGCACATGCAAGGGCTTTCTCTCGAGCTACAGTCATGTTCGAGACTTCACGCCAAACGTAACTATCCTTATTAAGTACCCATATGATGGAAGACGGAGCATCGCATTGGCCGAGTCCGTACCATTCTGAACCAACCGCAACATAGTACATTGGGATATAAGAAACACAAGAAGAAGGTATTTTTACCAACCTAGTATCTCTTGTAGACCTCCTCTTCTTCTCGAGTTGGTTGGTTAGGATTTGACCTGGTTTTATCCAGAGAGTGAACAAGGATGGATGATCACTATCATAAAACTGTAAGAAGACATGAACTAATGTTTCTTGGGTTTTAAGGTGAAATCGGGTCGCATTGAGGTCTTCGATAAAATGAGAGAGCGAAGAACTTGCAGACTAGGGAGAGTTTCGGGTAGTACGATCTCGAGATGCGTGCTAAACAGTTGACGATGATTTCATCAGGAAGTGACACAAACGATGGATTATTCAGCTTCTTTTTCTGCGATGCTTCTTCATAGTTTTCATCTGGTTCCGTTATCATATCCTGTTAAAACCAAAAAAAAAAAAATTGGAAAGTCATGTGACATAATCGATTCTTTATTTGACATACAAACATGAGAATCAATTCTCTGTATTTGAAAAAACCCAACAGATATAATAATGCTATTGAACCTCTACGGTCATATATTTGAAGTGTTTGACAGTAGATATTTGAGTAGATAGTATTTGATTAAAACAGAAACAAAGAAGAATATGAAAAACAGAAAAGATATGTCAATTTCTTGGAGAAGAAAACAAACTTTTTAGGTCGGAGGAGACAGAACGTCAAGGTCTGCAGCTTGTGTTTGAGAAGATGATGTTGTAAAAATTAAAGGGAAACCCTATTTGAATCTTATCAAGCTTTTGTCAAAAAAAAAAAAAAAATCTGATAGAACCCAAAGGCCCAAAACAAAACTCTCTATTTGAGTTGAAGGGTTCTAAACTGAATCATATAGTGTAAAAGAAAGAAGGAATATTCTATTTATCCGACGACACCCAACCGGTTAAACCATTAGCACCGGGTTAGGGGTTAATATTGGATTTTCCCAGTTTTTAAAGCTGTGGATTTTATAGCATTAAGTTCGGACAATAGTATAGGCTGGATTGTAGGCATGTCAATTAGGGCCAAAGCGCGCGGACTGGCCCAGCCAGCCCTGAAACAGCGAGGTCGGACTTAAAAATATATGTCCAGAAAAAAATCGGGTCTTTCAGACTACCAAACGAACAACGCAGCGACCAGTCGCAGCGAATATGAAACGAATAATATAAGAAGTCGCTAATCGCAGTCGCTAGTCGCTAGTTTACGTAAACGAACGTCTACTACCTTTTAGTCTATTTTATTCTTTTTGTAACGTACTATAATAATACGCAAATAGTTTACGTATGTTAATTAAGAAATGGAATTAAAAAAAAGCTATTCTACTATATATAAATTGAACTTTTATGACATATTCATGCATATCTCACTTTCAACAAGAAACACATGAATCCAAAATCCATGATTCCTTCTTCACCTTTCCTTTAATTTTCCAATAGTCATAACAGTTTTAACTACCACTTGAGCGAATGTTGTGAAAAAAAGCGTCACCCACACGTGTCACTATCTTACCCATAATCTCATAATCCAACGGTCATAATAAATTCGACCATAGAGTAGTCGCTCTCACATAGTATCAAATCTTGGAGTACCAACCATTATATAACTGACACGTGGCGTAATCGTCGCTCCAGTCTTCACCGGCCACACAACGTGGCATTCTTCACCAAATAATTAAATTTGTATTTAATTTTAATTAGTTGCATGTTTTCTTATAAGTTATGAATGAATGAACTGGAAATGCGAACTCTTCGCGTAATTGGAATCGTAAAGCAATTCGGTGTCTTATTTTCATTTTATTTATTTTATTTTTTTGTTTCTCTTCTCTTCTCTGCGAATTCTTAGGGTTTCTGAATCTTCTGGTTCTCTTCGCATTCGAATCCTCTGAAGTCAAACCAAAGTTTTGGTGTTTCTCTCTGTAAGTCATGTCGATTATATTTTAAAATCTCTTCGATTTCGTGCTTCTGTTGTACAACTTCGTGTTGTTTCTGTAATTTTTTTGATGAATTGGATTTGATTTCGCTCGTTTTGTTATCGATTGATGTATTGTTGTTGTTCTTCCTGGGAATCGAAATCGTGTTTGTTTCACTGGATTTAGTGGAATGTGATTCTTCTTATTCGTGGTTTGTTCTAGGTTTCGCGTTTCCATCTATCGTAATACTACTTTGTTGTTTAGGCCATTGAATTTCGCGAATCGTAATTTGGGAAAACAGAAATTGATAACTTGAGATTGAATCTGAGGATTTGTGTCGTATGTAACAAACTTATCTTCCTCTGCAAGTTTTAGTTACTGATTGTGATTTGATTCTTGTTTCCAGTTTTTCGTATCTGCAATGAAGAAAGTTGTGGTTTAGTGTTAAGATAGTTTGGATTCAACTTACACGTTTGATCCATTGTTTATCAGTCTCTTTCGCGGTGTTTCGTTAGCCTAACTGCAATAACCAAGTGTTTTGAGCATTGGATTTCAGAACTTTTGTTATTTCAATGTTCTTATCTTTTTCTTTTTGTGATTGTTCTTTATAGTTCTCCTGCCAATCTAAGATCCTCCTGCATTGCTTCGTTGGCCAATCTCCCTGTTTGTGACGAGGCGACTTAATACGCTTATGAAGTTCTTCTCTTCCTGGGATTTTTAGTCAGGAAGGAGTTGAACTAAGATTTGAGATGGAGATATCAGCTCTTCTTACATCTGCTGGGATTAATATCTCGATATGCATAGTGCTTTTATCACTTTATTCTATACTTAGGAAACAACCATCCAATTACTGTGTATATTTTGGCCGAAGGCTTGTTTGTGGTGGGGCTAGACGTTATGATCCGTTTTGGTATGAGAGGTTTGTGCCGTCTCCAAGTTGGCTGGTTAAAGCATGGGAAACTAGTGAAGATGAGTTATTAGCTGCTGCTGGTCTTGATGCTGTGGTCTTCCTTAGGATGGTCCTTTTCAGGTTACCGAAAAAACTCTCCCAAATGCTTTTTGTTTGTTCTGCTTCTTGTTTTCATAACACCCTCACAAATGGTTTTACTTTGGAAATTTTTTTTTTCTGCAGCATTCGTATTTTCTTTATAGTTGCTGTTATTTGCATTGCCTTTGTGCTGCCTGTTAATTATTATGGGCAACCGATGGTGCATAAGGAAATCCATTTGGAGTCATCCGAAGTGTTCACAATCGAAAATCTTAAAGAAGGCTCCAAATGGTAAATGTGATATTGCTTTTATCTCTACCTACGTCTCTTTGAAAGATGTTACTCTATACAGAGAGTGTAAAGTGCTGATTTTCTCTTATTATATGTATTGCTCTCAGGCTGTGGGTTCATTGTCTTGCACTGTACATTATAACCTCAGCGGCATGTCTTCTTCTTTATTTTGTGAGGACCTCGTACCTTAGTTTATCTCATGCATACATAAAATACTTACTCTTGATTCCTCCATTTTATCTTCTTTTTAGCTATTTTCCCAACCTTTTGACATTTTTTGATACTGTAGGAGTATAGGACCATAGCTAAAATGAGGCTTGGACATATTACTGGATGTGCCTCAAAGCCAAGTCAATTTACCGTTCTTATCCGTGCTATTCCATGGTCTCCTGAGCAATCTTACAGCGACACACTGAGCAAATTCTTCACAAATTACTATTCATCAAGCTATGTGTCCCACCAAATGGTCTACCATAATGGTATCATTCAGAGACTGTTGGTATGTATTCTTCTGGGACCAGTCAGTTTAAACTAAACTATTATTCAGCCCACCTTTCCTCTTGGTTTACTTGTCAGATTAAAACTGTCACCTAGAAATTCTAGAAAAAATCTGTTATTGCTCTTTGTGAGATGTGAAATTTTGCCAGCTTTAAGTGTTCTTCTTCTTCTTTCAGTATGCAATTTTGTTGATAGCTTTTGTAGTTAGTCCTTCATGGTTCTGAAGTATCATTTGCTGCTTGGATGTTATAAAGGGTTATTTGTTTGATGACTACATGCAGAGATTTATGATATTATTTAGAACAGTAGATATAATAATTATACTTAGTTCGAGTATCAGCTAAAAGGGAATACAGGTTAGACGCATTCTTGGAGTATAAAAGGATCTTCTAGAGGAACCCTGTATGTAGTTTCTTATAGGTTATCTGTCAGCATGTTGAATCAAAACAGTAGTTAGAAATTGGGTAAATGATGTGTTGATGGTTTGTCCTTGTGATTACATATTGAGATTCATTGTACCGTGTCATAGAATAAGTGTGACCTATAGATCATTAAAATTTCTGTCTCAGCGTGAGGCGGAGAGGATGTGCCAGACTCTAAAACACGTTTCTCCTGAAATCAATTGTAAACCGAGTTTGAAGCCATGCATCTTTTGTGGAGGACCTACAGCCACAAATTCTTTTCATATCCTATCTAATGAGGCGGACAGTGTGAAAGGAATGGAGCTTGGTGAGTTGACTATGACTACGACAGAGCAAGTAAGGAATTCTTCTGATTTCCCTGATCTAGGCATCGGATGTGGTTATGTGTTTTATAAGATCCACTGCATTTTTTTCACCTGATCCTGAAAGAGTGACTTTGTTAACCTTTACTGGAATACAAACTGAACTATGAAAGTGGCAGTTCGATTGTCCGATACTTCTGAGACTGTGAAGTTTGGTTTCCTCTGTTCAGTTGTAAACCATCATTTATAATCTGTAGTACCAGTGTACTTATATGCTACAATCTCGTCCATTAGGATTTGCACTTTTGTGTTATAGTTTTGAAATAGCAGTTCTTAATGTCAAATGGTCACAATATAGATAGTTAACTAAAGCCACAAAAAATTCTACGTTTTGCAGGAACGTCCAGCTGCTTTTGTGTTTTTCAAAACACGCTATGATGCTCTTGTTGTTTCAGAGGTTCTACAATCATCAAATCCTATGCTATGGGTGACAGACTTAGCTCCAGAACCTCACGATGTATATTGGAAGAATCTCAACATTCCTTATCGACAACTTTGGATACGGAAAATAGCAACCCTTGTTGGTGCAGTTGCTTTCATGTTTGTGTTTCTTATTCCCGTGACCTTCATTCAAGGGCTGACTCAACTAGAGCAGCTGTCTCACGCATTTCCTTTTCTAAGAGGCATCTTGAGGAAGTGAGTACCCTGCAGGTTCCTTACGCATGTATATATATATATGGTTTTGTTTCTTCTGGACATGATATTAGAATTGGCATTGAAAAGTAGGCGGAACTCCTGTGCAGTATAGAACACACGAGCCTTCTCTATATCTTTCAAACTATCAGAGAAATCAAAATTTTATGTTCTTGATTTGTTTTATCATCTTTCAAGTTAATCAGCCACTCAAACCATTTTGCAGGCAGTTTATAAGCCAGGTCATCACAGGGTACTTACCCAGTGTGATCTTGATTCTATTTTTCTATGCCGTTCCACCATTGATGATGTATTTTTCGGCCTTGGAGGGATGTATTTCACGGAGTATAAGGAAGAAGAGTGCTTGCATCAAAGTCTTATATTTTACCATTTGGAATGTGTTCTTCGTGAATATTTTATCGGGGTCTGTTATCAGGCAACTGAATGTCTTTTCTAGTGTCAGAGACATACCTGCACAACTTGCAAGATCAGTGCCAACACAGGTAATTTACCCATAGTTCTTTTACATTTCAGAGCAAAAGTTTGAGTTTTTCTTATTGTCCATGTTTCTACAGTCTCTTGAACATTAGCTAGGTTACATTTTGCCAAGATCTTGCAGCTTTCGGATTGGATATAGTGTTTTCTTGCGCTGGAACTTTATTAATTTGTTCTTTTCCCTCGTTCCATGATAAACTATTATATATCAGAGATATTAAAGCCCACTGGATGAATTTTACTCATTGTATAGTCTCATTTGGGATTGAGCTTTTCTGGTTGCTTAATGACCTCCATAGCTTATAAGCACCTTCTTGTGTTTCATATTTATTAGGAAAAATGAAAATGTATCATTGATTCTGAATATGTCTTTAACCATGTATGCAGGCTGGCTTCTTCATGACCTATTGTTTCACATCTGGTTGGGCCAGTTTGGCTTGTGAAATAATGCAGCCTATGGCTCTTATCTGGAATCTGGTAGCAAAAGTTGTTACCAAGAACGAGGATGAGTCATATGAAACACTTAGGTTCCCATACCACACCGAAATTCCTCGGCTGCTTTTGTTTGGGCTCCTGGGTTTCACCAATTCAGTCATAGCACCACTGATACTGCCGTTTTTGCTGATATACTTTTTCCTTGCATATCTCATATACAAAAATCAGGTAAGTGTGCAATCTATACGTTCTCTGATCTCTGTTACATAATATCACAGTTAATCACTATAAAAGCATCATAATGGACTTGTATCTAATTTGTGTAAGTTTAGTTACTTTCTGAACTGCATGTTTTAGATCACAGTAGTAGTGCCAGGCTCATGCATTAAGTCAGAAATCTTTGATATAATTTTTAAAAGACAATCCTTTTTATAGACCTTCTTAGCCTTACCAGAGTTGTTTCTATTTGCAGATACTCAACGTGTATATTACAAAGTACGAAAGCGGTGGACAATACTGGCCTATTTTCCACAACACAACAATCTTTTCACTGATCTTGACACAGATTATAGCTTTGGGTTTCTTCGGATTAAAGCTATCAACGGTTGCTTCGGGTTTCACTATACCATTGATTCTTCTCACTTTGCTTTTTAGTGAGTATTGTCGGCAGAGGTTTGCGCCTATTTTCAACAAAAATCCTGCCCAGGTAAATTAAATGTAACCAAAACCTTTGATGTTCCTACTGCAGTTTATGCGTCTTCTCGGTGCTTGATAGATGTGTTTCTTTTCAGGTTCTCATAGATATGGACAGGGCTGATGAAATCTCAGGAAAGATGGAAGAGTTACATAAAAAATTGCATAATGTATACTCGCAGATCCCATTACACTCTGAGAAATCATCGAGTAAAGCTGAATGCAGTAATCCTTTCAAAAATCAGGAGTTACCAGATCCTGAAAAATTGAAGCCAGGTTTCGAGTCCATACCATTGTTTGTGTATGATTTCAGATTTTACTTGAATACAGACTAATAAGATTTGCATTTTTCAGAGGAAGGGGATGCGATAGCGAAAGAGTTATGGGGATATCAAGGCAATGAATCTGGTCAAGAACATGACGCTAAGTCCTGTCCCAGTGCTTCACCAGAGCATCTTTCTCCAAAGCTGATCGAACTTCACAAACGGAACTAGACAGACATTTTTTACTAGTGAAGTAATCGCGGAGGCTCCTACAAATCAGTGCTTTAAGCACAAGAGTTTTGTCGTGGGCATGCTCCGCTCCAAAACCAATGTTACTAGGAATATACTCACTCACTTGAAGATAAGTAGATGTAAATTGTTTTCGGGATATCTCATCATTTTTCTTTGATGGAAATTCGTATTGAATCTCTACAAAACAGATGGGGGAAAGCATTTCAAGCATGTACAGTTTTCTTGCCAAGTTAAAGATGTACATTTTATAGTTTCTGCAAGAAGAGATAAAACTGTGTATAGATATGCTAAGAAGAAAGATTTTTCGTTATGGAGCTCAGAGTATGAGAAACTAAAATTATCAATCTAGTGATAGGTATGGCCATTTTTCTGTTCGTCTTTGGAAATTATGTCGTACCAAACAAAGGTGGAAGATGTACGAAAAAGACGAAAGTCAAGTTGTGACAAAGATAAGTTTTTTTACTTACCATTGTCAACCGAGGTGACAATTGTGGGACATGTGTAAACAAAGAGAAGAGCTAAGACCATAACATTGTGGGACATGTGTCCGAAAAGAGAAGAGCTGAGTTCATGAGAGCATCTTCAGATCTTCTTCAAGGCTTGTTATATGGGTATCCTATACTATTATTTTCCTATACTATTATTTAGAGAGTACATTTTAGAACTAACCTTATTTTTTTGTAAGTTATTACATTGGAAAATCTATTAGGCTAGATACAATGATGCTTTTTTAAACAGTTGAATAATTATTACAACTGTTGATTCACTCCAATGATGTATTGAATGAAAGACAAATGATGAGGTGGAGTTAACAGAGTTATAAAGATTCAACGGTGTTGAAACGAGAGAATTGGGTCTCATGGTGACAAGTGGCAGATTGATTGATCAATTTTTTTAATTATATGATAATATTTGGATAAAACATGTGTATAGTTTTTATTGGATGCTGAGATTTTAGATATTTCTTATCCCACCCAATTATTTAAGATCAATTATGTCACAAAATATTAAATTTTATTTTAATATTTTTATACCAAAATTCATCATTTTTCATACTCTATAAATAGAGACTTGTTTCACTTAATATGGACACACAAAAAAATCTATCTTTTTTAAGTTTCTCGTCGATGGATGTGTTTTATTAACGACTATATGTATTTCTCGTTTTTATTAATTTGGAAAATAAACTAAATGATATAAAAAATAAAAACTAAAAAAAAAACAATTTTTTTTACTTATTTTAGATTAATTTGATATTAACTGTGATTAATAATATGTAATCACGGTGATGTGCCTTTAGTCAAGTGGTTAAGTCCATCTGACTCCGCCTTCCCCACCGGGCTTTGTCGATACAAAGATGTCAAAAAAAAAAAAATAATAATAATATGTAATCACAAAAACTTAAACATAAATAAAATAAAAAGTAGTATGAAATAAAAATTGTAGGGTAAAGTGTTATAATCTCTTACTAATAAAAGATGTTCATTGGGGCCTCTTAGGCCATCCACATCAGCTCACAAATCTACTCTAAGATTGTGCCACATCAGCAAACTATTTTTAAGACAACCATCAATGTATTTACTATTTACTGATTGAATATAAATGGTATTAAGACAGCCTCAAAACGTTTTCATTAGGCCTGGGCATTCGGGTACCCGTTCGGGTTCGGTTCTTTTTTTTCGGGTATCGGGTCTATTCGGGTAGGGGGTCAAGACCCATTCGGGTATTCTAAAAATTTGGTTCGGGTTCGGTTCGGGTTCGGGTCGGTTCGGGTATTTTAATAAAAAAAGCAAAATACCCGAAAATAACCAAAAATACCCGAAATATTTTCGGGTTCGGGTCGGGTTCGGGTTTTTAACTCATATATACCCAAATCTAACCGAAATACTCGATTTATCGAAAATACAATGGTTACTCTTTACCCAAATATAACCAAAAATATCTAAAATACCTAATATATTCGGATTTATGATTGTAATTTTAGGTATTTCGGGTATTATAAATATAAATATAACTAATATTTATAGGTGTATATTTGTATTCGGGTACATTCGGGTACATTCGGGTATTGGATTCGGTTCGGGTTCGGTTCGGGTTTTTTTCGGGTAGGAGGTTAGGACCCATTCGGGTATTTTTAAAAATCGGGTTCGGGTTCGGTTCGGATATTGTTCGGGTTTTTCGGTTCGGGTATTCGGTTCCGGGTATTTTGCCCAGGCCTAGTTTTCATTTTAAAGGCCCATACACGCAATATTTTCTTTAGCCAATCTAAAAACCTAAAACCAAGATGTCCAAATTAAAAAAAAAAAAAAAAAATCAGCAATAGTAATTGCCATAAATGATAATCAATTAATCATCCTACGGCACTACAGTTTCTCACATAAGTCCTTGAATCGATTCACTTTTCTAAGAACACAACTACACCACCGTTATCAAATCTGACAGCCTTTCCACTTCGTCATCTTCAATCTTCCATTTATTCACACCAATTGACATCTAAACAAATTAATGGCCATTATCTCCGAAGCCAATACCTCTTTCAAAAATCTACCCTATAAAAGCCGAGCATACAAGCAAACCAAAAAGCTCCAACAAGTCACCAAAATCAAAGCATGTCAACAAATAAAATTCAGCCCTCTCCCCAGCCATTCACGTTTCAAATTTTCGTGAAATTAATGGAATTCACTCATTCAGCTATTTCATTGTTCGTCGTTAAGAATAATTTGTTGTCGTTTAGTTTTCTTATAGTTTTAGTTCCAAACAATATTTTTATTTTAAATTGTTCTAAGAGTGATTTTCTTTCTTCTGGTGTTTTACATGTTTCCTTAAATTGTTTAGTTTGACATGGCTTACAAAGCTTATGAAATTATGATAATTGCCTGCTAAGATTTTGGGTCATGTTTATATTCGTCTAGGAAGTTGTCATCTACAGGGAAAAATATAGTTACAAGTGATCTGATTTTACTACATTGTAGTATGATCACATGTACTTGTGATTAGCAAAATGGGGGTTGCTAAGCACATTCGTAAATGTTGATTTTATGGAAAGTCTACTCCCTCGCTACTTGCCTAACCCCTCAACTCCCTTCTTTAACGGTTACATGTAGTCTAAGTTATATTAGTAATTTAGTATTAACTGAAGATTTTTTATTGTTATTGGAATACAACCATATATATTGTAATTGTATGGTCGTTGTGGTTGCACTTTTGGTTTCTTCTAAAAATTTTCAGCTTTTGAAAAGTTTGTAAGTAAGATACATAAATGAATAAATAACATGTGCAGAAAATTGATTTCCAAAAGCAAGGGAAACTGTTATAAATAAATGAAAGTAGTCAAACACTATACAAAAGAAAACAAAAAAAAAAAAGCATAACCCATCTGGCATAGTCTGAAAAGAATAAAATGAATAATACGAGAAATGAAAAAAATCGATACGAAAATAATTTAAGAGAAGGATAGAGTTTAAAATAATACTACGTAGACTGATAGTAATAAGAAATAAAACTTAATTTAAAAATTTCTAAATATAAACTACAATGAACAAAAAAAAATTCGATAGATAATACTAAACAATTAATAGTATCATAGTATATTTCTTTTGTTCAAATGTTAGAAATAACATAACATCACATTGTTCAAAATTTTAACTAAACTGGTATATGTATTACCCGGGCGTAGCCCGGATTTTCTTCTAGTTTTATTAAACAAAACTATTGTAGAGGGTAAAAATTATATAGGTGTTGAATTATGATGTGGAAGAGAGAAGATGATGTGGAGTGTTAAAAATAAAAAAGTGGGTGTTGTAAACAAAAAACCAATGTAGATAGTCTTATTATTTTTTTTAAATGACCAATCAAAATGAACATATAAGATTTGATATCTAACTTAACATATTAATTTGTTATTAATCATTATAGTTCACCTCTCATATTTATATGATTCTATTTTTATGAAACAAATAAATCATCATATCACCTATATAATAAAAAAAAGTAATTTTTTTCTGCATATGGCATAATTTGAATTTTTAAAAATGAATACAATTTGTTCAATGTATGAAGGAAAAAAATTTAACGGATCAAAACTTCAGATTTGAGTAATATATTTCTTTTGAACAAAAATTCTAACCGAGTAACGTGTCAGAATATGAATATTTATATTAAATTTCATTTATAGATGTATTTTAAAATGTATAATTTTATATACTATAATAAACTTTTAAAACATTTTAATTTGCAATATTTAAAATGAGTTTTACTTGATATTTTTAAAGAATATCATCAAGATCAAAAAGTTATAAATACTCTAATTGATTTTTTAAAACAAATATTTATAATAAGCGGCAGGTTAAATAAGGAAATGAGTTATGATCCTTACAACTGTTTGAATATTTATATTTAATTTCATATAATTTATTTTTTTGAAATTAATAATTTTATATAATACAATAAAAAATTTAAAGATTTTAATTTGGAATATTTAAAAATTGTTTAATTTAATATATTAATGAATATCATAAATATTTAATAGATTAAAATTATAAAAATTTATAGATACTTTAATTTGATTTTCTAAAAAGATATATTTACAATATTTATAGCAGGGGGCGGGCTAAATGTAATGAATTATATGATAGAAAGTTATGATCTTTATAACACATGTCATCTAAATATTTGAAATTTTGATTCTGTAAGCAATTTTCGAAATAAAGAATAATAGATTGTGCACACAATATTTTCATTGGGATTCTAAAATGAAAATATAGACTCTATGCACGGGTTGAATTTGGTATTATTATATACCAACTATATGTTCATAACATATTTGATTATGCGAATAATTGGTAATTTCCGTAATTACCTCAAACAAATCTTTATTTCAACAACCAAAGTGTTAGAAATTGAAAAATGAATTTCCTAAATTTTATTCAAAATAATAGCTAACTTTCTTAATTAATTCAAAATAATCTACGTTTTAGATGCGATTCATTTATGATATTTTGATGTTTGATCTAACTAAATTATATGCAATCTCATTTGCGGTTGTTAACATAAATTAACTCATCGTTCAAACAATATTAATTTTTTTAAAAATAATATTATTTTCTGTTTTTCTATCTTTAAAAAAATATATCAATAATTGAGTATTATAGAAAAAGAAAAATATAGTCATTTTAATATTATATATAGGGACTGACAAAAAATATATATTTTAACTTACTATTATAATATATCACAACTTTATTCTATAATATATAATATATAAATTTTGTAATAAATAAAATTCAACCCGTACTGTAGTACGAGTGATGATCTAGTCTACAATTGTAAAAATCAAAAGATAATG